CTTTATTGAAGGTTATTAGTCATTGATATGCCGCACCTACTACATGTGTATCTGGGGTCTGGGCTCAATTTTTGCAGTTGCTCCATTGACAGAGGTGTTGGCCATATGTGGTGAGGGTTACCATTGCCTGACCTCTCCCGCTGCTGCTGCTGCTGCTGATGATGGAAGATTAACAATGACAGTGGGGTCTCTCAGGGGTTCACAGTGTGGGGGCAGCAAATCAATGGTTCAGCGTTCAAGGAGGAGATCGAATTGAGTAGAGAATTTATGGCAGCAAACGATTGTGGGGGGAGGTTAGCTATGAGAGTACATTAAAAGTGAATGGTGGGGAAGTCTATTTGGGCAGTATTTTGAAGAGATCTAAGAACACTTGTAGGCACTAACAGTCATGGTACGATATTAAGTCATAAAATTATTCTTCGCTACGCCCACTACTGTACATAAACATCCATAAACATTAACAGTTGTTCTTACTTATGCTTACGCGCAGCAGCGCCCGTTTTTTCGTCTATCTATTCCGCCTCTTTCGTTGCTGCACTTTTCTCGCTCTCTCGCTAAGCTACGCAGCAGCCGCCTACCTGCTCCAACGCTCTCTTTCGATCGCTTCTCGCGCTTTAGCAAACCTTCGCGCTCAACCTAACAGCAGCCGCTATCTGCTCCAAAGCTCTCTTTCGGTTGCTTTCTCTGGCTCGCTCCTGGAAGTTCTGCATGGGCACAGGCAGTTTGTACCCTCTGCACCGCAGATACAAATACAGTATTTTGAAAGCACTCTCCGCAGCAATCTCCTTCAAACTTCAGGCCACATAACTCACTTATCCATTTATCTGCCAAAAGTTGCATCATTAGCCGAAAGTAGCGAAAATTGTACCCCCAAAATGTATAGCTCCAATCTAAATCCACACGGAGGGAAACACATTGGGAACACTCATTAGGCACACGCCACACAAGCTGCGAAACATTCACCGATTGCTGTCTCTCTCTCTCACTCTCTCGCCATTTCTCCGCTTGCATTTTCCGGGCAGGCAAAGTTTGTATAGATAAAACCCCACACCGAAAAACTACTATCACCATTCTCTCTCTCTACCAATTAATTACCCCCCGAACTGGCCGGCCAGCAAACAAAACCAACACAAAAAGTCACTAAATCATTTTGAACTTGACATTCGGTGCGAGGCGAATGCAAATCGCTTGCTTTCGACTCCATGTGAGGCAATTAACGGGGGGGCCAGGCCAGCCAGCCAACAGATCGGTGCACCGACGAGGTCTTTAAATTTATGCCAGAAAGAAGAAAAAAACTGGACACACGACAGCAAGTTTAACAGAAGAAGGAGCAAAACTATTGGCCGGCAAACATGATTTAATGAGCATTTATGCAAATGAACAGACCAAATGTGCCCGACACTGGTCCTCCTGGTTTTCTGCTGCATGTCTGCTCTGTGTTATCCTTTAAGCATCCTGTATATGTTCAGCCCTGTAGCTCGTAAATCACTCCAATCTCTGCCTACATGTCCGAGTGTGTGTGTGCCCTGCGGAGGGGTGTGTGTGGGCCTCTCAACTGAATAGCTAGAAAAATAAACCTAGAGGCAAAAACCCAACAGCCTAGCCGAGAGAGAGAGAGAGAGATGACACTTTTGAGCTGCAATCAGGCGTAAAAAGATGTTGCTGCCCAAAAGCAATTTTCACTTTTGATTTTTCGGTTTTTGTTTGGGGTTTTCCTTTGTCGTTTTGCCATTCAATTGCTCCGCAGGTAGCGGGGGGACTGCGAGTTTTGAGGTGGGTCCCTCATCAAATTTTGCAACAATGCGACAAAATCGAAGGCAGTGAAGTGCGGTTGAGTCTGTGGGATACCCTGGGATTGTGGGAGAAAGTTTCAGAACATCAGGGTATATATTTTAAGAATTCTTTGAAGCATCAAAAAATGTTGTACGAAAATAATATTCTAAAGACGGCAAATCATGAATATTTTCTTCATTCCCTTAGCTAATGGCACACAGCATCATCTTCCCATCATACCCTTTTATCTTCTTAAATGCTGAGTAACACAATTGTCTGCTCGCCTCACTGGACAGACACCCAAGCCGCAGTGGACAATCCCCAAATGCCCTTTACCTTTCCCTGTCCCTGTCCCTTTCCCTGTTGGATTTCTCTGTTTTTGCGGTTTGCCTTTTGGCTGCTTATTGATTTTGGTCAAGTCTTTCCTTTCCTTCGCTCTGTCAGTTGCCGTTGCCGCTTTGCGGCTGAGCTGTGAAATCAATTGGAAAATGCGCTTAATGATTTTGCTCAAGATTTGTGCTTTTGCTCTAATGGCTAAACTGTACTTTTTGTGGGTTCCTGGGGGAAGGGAAGCTTGGCGTAATCTACGATTGTGCCACACCCATTTCCTTGGCAAAGGAATGCACTCAGCCAGCCAGCGGACAACCCTTTGCAGCTGGGCTGCAGATGGGTGCCAAGGGTTGCCTCAGACAATGACCCAAAAATGCTACAAAAGTGCAGCAGAAGCAATCTTCTACTCGAACTGCTGCTCCTTACGCTCCTTATGTCAACTTCTTGAACTCCCTTGGAAGGGCGCTGCGCTTCGGGGCGGAAGTGTGCGCCGCTGGCAATTCGAAAACGATCAAGCGTAGCACCCCCTGAATTGCTGCACGATATTGAGATGAGTGCCCCGTAATTATTTGTGCACCACGGGACATGCTTTTGCACCCCTTTCCAGGTTGCTGTTTGAAATGTACACGGGCAGGGATAAGCATCTTAAGACTGAGTTGAGACTGTATGTAATATTGATATGAAACAGCGCCCTGCTATCAGTGCTCTCCCACAGAGATGATTGCCAGAACACGGCAGGATTTTGGGCAGCAAAGAAAGATAACAAAGAGAGATAATATTAAGATACTTTTCAGTACGGCTTCCTGTAGCTAATACCCCTTCAAAAAGCTATTGAAAAAACCCTCTCCTTGCTGTAGCTCTTTGTAATATTCACCCACAAAAATTCGTTACTCTGTGTGCCCGTAAGTCCTTAAGTCAATTGCGAAAGTTTTCAATTAACATGATGGCCAGGCACTCCATTCCCAAAGTCTCCTGTGGGTACTCATATGCTTGCATATGGAGCCCAAAAAACTAAGCTGCCACACACGAAACACACACGTGAGGCACTCCAAATGCCGACCATTAGAATCGACTACATTAACAATATTGGCAGTGACCCAACTCAAGCAGTCTTAACATGAAAATTATGCGTGTCCATTCCAGTTTTTGTAGGGCGTAAAACTAACCCGAAAACTTCCGGCCCTTGCCCTAAAAAAACACAAAAAAAAAGCGAAGGTGAAAAAGCTTTTAATGCGAGCAAAGAGAAGGAGATTTTTCGAGGTTTCTTCGGGTATTTTTTGTAAGTTTTTCTCTGCGACGCTTCGCACCCAAAGAGAGAGGCAGAGAGCTGCCGGGAGATGAAAATTCTGCGATTACCAAAACGACGATTAATATCACTTAATTAAGGTGAAAATGTAGCTGCCTGACAGCTGTCAAAAAGCAAAATCGTATCAAATGGCATAAAACATAAAGCATAAAACAGGAAATAAAATATCATTTTTTTAGCACAATTTTTGTGCCGTTTTTCGGGTGGTTTTTGGGATTAGGGATTTGCCGAAAACACATATATTAATGGTAGTCTCCGGGCGTTGCAGCTCAACAATGACGGCAATCAAATCGTATTTGGCACAAGCGGATTTTTGATGGCAATCAATCAGAAAGTAGCACAAAAAAAAAGGGAACCTTTTGGGTGCATTTAACTTTTGTGGCTGAAATCGGAAGCCTCAGCAGCAGCAGCAGCAGCCCCTAACAAAAATTGCACACAACTGACTGCTGGAGAGATGGAACTGCCATGAGAGCTGTCAACGGGTGCATAAAGCCCAGAGGAAACATTCGAGAAGACTGACTGAGGGGTCGTCTGAGCTGGGGTAGAGAATATCTGCAGAATGGTTGTTGGCCAGAGGCTCAGTCTGCCCCTCGTCTGACTGCAATTTAATCTGTCCGACAAGTGTGTCTGTCTTGTGCCTTGTGCCTTGTGTCTCTTCCGCATTTTGTCATGTGTAAACTGGATTCATAGGCAAACGGCAAACGGCACACCAGAGTGTTGGTCATTGTCTGAGTCTGTCTAGTCAGAGATATCCACATGCACGTCTCTAATGCAGTCAGTCACTCGTGTGTGTGTGTGTCTCATGGCTAGATAATGGGCCTTGTGGCATTCTCAAACAATAGTCTGGTTAATTGAATTGCTTTCAAATGCGTGGGCCCTGCTCCATGCACTCCCTGCGGCTCCCTTGTGCAATAATAATAATGTCCCGCACTTTAATTGTATCGATTTCATTTGAATTTCATTCGGACATTGTCTCGGGGACACGGCTAGAGAGGGTTTTGGGATATGGGTAAAGGTCAAGCAAATGAACATAAATTGTGTGCCAGAAGATTTATGCTGAAAGCGTGAAGAAAACTTAACAGGTGTTTCGATCTTTCTGTGTTTAAATCTTCAACTTTTTGTTGGTTACATTTTATGGAGAAAATCTTGAAATTGTGACTTGGAAAATGTACACTAAAAATGTTGTAAAAATCTAACAGAAATTTATGCTTTTGGTGATTAAATTTGCAACCAATTGACAGTAAAAATTCGTAACCTTTTGGCAGTCAAAATTAGGATCTGTTGGCCACAAATCTTGTTGGAAAATCTTTAAATTGTGAGCTGGAACTTTGTTACTTTACAAATTTAAGAAAACTCACTGTTTGCCAGTCAAAATCAGCCACGTTTTGGTGGTCAAATTTTCAACTATTCGTAGCTCAAATCCTTTTCTATTTCCTCTCATAATCTGCCACTAAAAATCTTCAAACTGTGGGCTTAAAAATAAAATAAAACATGCCAGAAATTTGCCCATTTTGCTGGTCAAATTCTCAGCGTTTTGGCGGTCGAAATCTTCAACTGTTTGCTGCTCAAATTCTTCAAATAATTCTCAATTCTTAAACTTTATTCACGGCTACAAATACAATTTACATACGCATACAAATAGTCAAAGAAATCATCAATCAATTCAATTCAATCATAAACTAGCTACCAAATAACTTAAGTTCTAGCAAAGGTTTACACATAATTCATAAATCGCTTATCAAACATATAGCGAGCGCGAAAAGAAAGGGAAATACAATAAAATACAGATAAAGGTAGGAGATAAAAGAATAGAGTTACGAGCTATAAGTAAAAATTACAAGTTAGCAGCACTAGGACTTGGGCTTTCGACTTCGATTGGGTGTGGCTGTGGTCCGCAGGGGACGTCGCGTGGTGGCGCTGCTCTTGGGACTGCTGGTGGCTGCAACTCTGCTGGGCTTAGTAGTGGTTGTTGTTGTTGTTGTTGTGGTGCTGCTGGTGGTTCTTCTGCCACTGGGCCGCTCGCGGTAGACGCACATCAGCTCATCCGCGGCATCGGGACAATCAATTTGCTACGCAAGAAAAGGAAATTCATTTAAGCTGCCACTTCAGACTCTACTCTCTCTGTCTCTCTGTCTCTCTCGTACCTTGTCGCACAACTGGCTGACTGTGATGCACTTGCCACTGACACAGCGCAGCTCGTGTGGCAGACAACCGCCGGGCGCTGTCACCGCTGTCTGTGCCGTGGGTGGCGCCTGGGTGGTGCTGCTTGTCGTTGTCGTTGTTGTTGTTGTGGTGGTGGTGGTGCGTCCACGTTGTTGCACCAGTGCCGCGCTGGGTATGGCGCTGGCTGTGCGTGCCGCTGGCGTGGTGGCGCCTCCGCTGATGCTGAACTTCACGGACGTGCGATTGGCGCGCTGCGAATATTTGAATTTGTTCTCCGAGTCGCTGGTCATCATGATCTCCTTGCTGTCACGAAAGTTGACTAAGGAAAGGCATTAAGCACCCGGAAATATAGGCAGAGTTCTGCAGTGCTTTTTGGCTTACCAAAACCCTTGGGTCCTGCGGCTGCGGGTTCCTCCCCGCTGGCCGAGCCATTGCCCGGCGGCGCCGCCACTTGATGGATCTGAAATTTGGTCTCCGTGCCCGCCTCCTCATCCGTGGTGGCTGTGATGTACGTGTACAACTTGTCATTCGTTTCATTGGGCGACAGAAAACTGGCATAGGAAAAGACTCGGGGAAACGCATTCAGTTCCGCCTCATCAAAGGGCGTGGAGTCCCCGGAGCCATACTCGTCGCAATCCTCCTCATCGCTGCCATCGAAGCAATCAAAATTGAGATCACAGCGCTGGCCCTCGGGTATGCACTTCTCGTTGGAGCGACAGCGAAACTCGTCCTGCTGCTCGCAGACCAAACACTGCTCGTCCTCGTCCTCGCCACCGGAGCAATCCTTGATCTTGTCGCATTGCCATTGCTGGGGTATGCAGCTGCCATCGTGGCACTGGAACTCGTTGGCATAGCAGTCGTCCCTGCGCCGCGTGGGATCCTCACACTTGTGACTCTCATGGGCATCCGGATAGAGGCTGCAATCGAAGAGCTCGCTGAGCACATCCGAGTTGGATATGGCAATGGAGCAGGCCTCCAAAATGGCTACAAAGGGGGCAACAAAGTCACTCAAGGTTCGCTCTGACTCCCCTGTTCTGCCGCCCTTGCCTTACCCTTGCATATCCTGCGGCATGGCGGCAGCTGTCCAATGTGCGAGGGCCTGCACTCCGGCTCCAGTGCCGCACACACAAACTCCACCGCGCGCGCTGAGCAATTGGCTTGAATCAACTCCTCGTAGGCGGCCATGGCTGCCGCATCTCGTGGCGCCGCTGCGCCCTCGCGATTGTACGTCAAATCGTAGTCCAGCACGCCCTGGCACATGGGCAGCATCGTGGAGTAGCAGCCGCTGTTTGTCGTCGATGGTGTGCTGCTGGTCATGGCCTCTGTGGGATGTCCACTCGCAGCCGAGGGCGGTGGCAGTGTGGGCGAGACGCGTGTCAGCGGCTGCTCATGACCGGGCGGCGTGGCCTGGGGCTTGGGCAGCAGCTGTGGGGGGGGCAAAAAGGTGCAAGATAAAGTCTAATTCCTAGAGGTTTCCTTTCCTCTCTTCACTCACTTCCTTGAGCAACTGCAGCATGCGCTTGTCCTGCTCAATGGGCACACCGAAACTGTTTTGATGGCCCGAAGTAAAGCGAATGCTGTCCGCGGGCAGCAAGGTGTCGTCGTAGTCCTGCGCCACCTCTGGCTGCTGCGTTGTGTAGTCGTGCTCCACCGCCTTGAGTCGCGTTGTTTGCTGCAGCTCTCGCTCCGTGCTGGCAGCCTCCTCCCCATCATACAGCTCCGTGTTGCTGCCACTCGTCGTCGTTGTGCTGCTCGTGCTGCTGCCTGCCTCGTAGCGTCGCTGCAGCAGGCGTGCCCTGGCCACACTCACGTCGTGCAGCCACAGGCAGTAGGTGATCAAGCCAAAGAACAGCAAGACACTTGCCACAAAAATGATGGGCCAGCGCAAATACTTCCAGCGACAGGCGCGTCGTGCATAGCCCAGGAGCATCCACGGTGTGGGCTTCTCCCCACGATGTGCCTCCAAATAGTAGTTGCTCGGCGTCAGTGGATACTTGTAGCGGCGCACCTGCAGCTCGGCCAAAGCCTCGGGGCTGCCCAGCATGCCAATGCGATAGTTTTGCGTGTCCGTCCAGCAGGCAGCATCGGAGCCAGAGCCAGCGCCAGAGCCAGCGCCAGAGACAGAGCCCTTGCTGCGTAGTGTGGAGGCGCGGGAGTAATCATCATCGATGGTCTGCACGGTGATATTTAGGCCATGGGGATATTTGGTGGGCTGACGTCTCAATCCATTGATGACTGTTGAGGCATCATCGAGGGTCGTCACGGGCTGCTCCTCCATGGTTCTCCTTTTGTCTCGTGTCTGCCTGTGGCAAATGTCAATTGCAGCTGCTGCTTCTGTTGCATAAGCCTCGCGGGGAGGGTTGAGTGCGGAATAATTGCTATTGTCTAACCAGTTGCTCTTCGTGCGCAGTTTAGGGCTTCAGCTTGGAGCTCCTGCAGCGAAAGGAAGTCGAATTACAAATGGAAAATACAAAAATGAAAGTCAAGCTGCTGTCTTGGCATTTGGAAAGTTGTCACCCAACTAGCGACTTCCCCAAGCCCAAACCATTCCACCGGATCTGTCAGATTGTTTCAATTAAGCTTCAATTAATTCCCCAACACATTCCGAGCACATCTGCCAGAGTCCACAGTCCCCAGCTGCTGTTGCAGCGATAAATAATCTTTGTGTACCCAGAGCTTAATAAGTAAATAAATATAACCACCAGCCAGACTATGTGCATTGGCCAATAGCTTAGAAATATTGAGGCCCAGTGCTTGGTGGCTGCAACTTCCAATTGCCAATACACAAAGAAATACACACAGAAAGGCACACAAATAGTAGCCAAAAACCTGGGCCAAGCTCAACTTGTTGGCCGGAAAAACGAAGCAACAGTTGGTCCAAGGGAGGACAAGGCTACAACGAAGCAGCGATGCTCTATATATGGGGGTAGAATAATCAGGAAATAAATAGAAAGAAAGCAACCAGAAACTTCTCCGGCAAATCCGCAACAAATTGTATTAGAAATTCCATTTTTTCCATAAATAAATGTAAGAATAAATGTTCTGATGATTGAAACCAAGCAAAGATTTGTTTTCGTTATGCCAAGGTTGGGGGCAGGTGATTATATAATCCAGAAACTTAATGAAATTAATGCTAGTATTGGTCTTGGCAATTATTCAATCATTTTTGCCTAAATCTGCGCAGAGTTTAAGGCACTTCAAGGCCATTTTCGGTGAAGGAAACTTACAAAATAATTCAAGAATTTGGTTGAGAAACATATCATTAAAGTTTGGACTGTCTAAGTCTAAGAAATACTGCAGCGTGCTGCAAGAATATTTGTGAATAGTTGTGCTGAAACGATGTTCCTATCTACTGACAGCAGCTGCAGCTGCCTCTACTTTGAAGAAGCAAACTGATTCCCCAGCTGGTAGTTTTCTTTTTCGTTTGTTGAGCACATTAAATGTTATGCTTTCATGTTTTATACCCTTTCCTGGAGCGATGCTGCTGGCTGAGCACCAAAAATCGCTTGAGCTTGGCGGCCACAGTTGGCTGAGTGTCGGAGTGCTTGGAGACGACTCCAAAAACTCTTTCAACTTCCAGCTGTGTGACTCCTGTGCTCCCAACTGATGCTAGTGACCTTTTCACTTTTGTTTTCGTTTGCCTGACTGCGCCTGCCGTGCTTTTGCAGGTTTCCTCAAGTGTTGCAGCAGCAGCAGCAGCAGGAGGAGTTGGGGCAGCCTCTGCGGCCGCTCTTATGTCGTTCGTTGCTCGATTAATGAGCTGCAACCAGAGACACCACGACAGGCCCACTTCAACTCTCTGTGCCACTTCAGTCTTCAGTCTTCAGTCTTCAGTTGTGCAAAAAAATAAATACAAATGCTGTGTGCTGGCTGGCCAGTTATTAAGAGTGGCTTGGGGCGGCTTTGGGGCTTGCAACTTGCTGCTCTCTTGGCTTTAAAGATTTTGCTAAGGTCAGTCGTCTCGGGGGTTGGGTGTGGAAAACGGCTACCAAGCAAAAGCAATCGACAGAAAGGTCATAATAGCAATTGACGACAAGAGTGCGCTGTGAAGAACCTTGTTGTAGGGTCGAGCCATGAGGAGAATGGGTGTAACCCCAACAAACCCACAAGAAAACAAGAAAACAATGCGATCAGGGGTCTAAGAGAGTTGTTAATGTCTGCCTTGTGGTGTGGCAAATGGAGTGAGGAAAACTCCGACCCAATGCCCGTTGAGCATGTGAAGAAGGTTGGGTAAGTCGTCTCTGGGAAATGTGTCTGTTGGGTAATCCACAAATCCACAAATCCACAGAGCTAATGAGAGTGTTAAGTGAAGAACATCAGAGAGCTGGCTTTGAGTGTGGTTAAGCGGTGAGGAACTCTAATGATGCGCAAAATGTCTGCTGAAAGATCAAGAGAATAACGGCCCCAAATGGAAAAACTTCAACGTTGTTTTTGGTCATACAAATGAAAGCGAAAAACTCCAAACTAAAGCTAGGAAATCAACCTTTTAATGGGCCAAAAAAGCCCAGACTAAAGCTAAAAACTCCTCCACTTAATAGCTCTAATATCCCCTTCTAAATTCTGTACGTAACCGGCAAAGTCTTTGGGCATCTTCTGGCTCCGATCTCCCCCTCAAATTACAGCTTCAGACACGCACCAATCTAGATCTTTGGTAACTTCCACTGAGACGCCGTCTAATTAGTATTTGCACGTTCATTTAGTTATCTGTTTGGCTGTATCTGTAGAGCCACTTCCAGGCATTGTTCAATAGCTCATTTGGTCAGCCATTAGAACACCTTTGAGCAACATTACGTTCCGCTTGAATGCCAGCAATCTTCTATGCGATCGAAGGGAGACCGTGTTGCACATTGCTCGTGCATTTGTACACCTCTTTATGGCAGTTGCATTTGCTTTTAGTTGATGTTTATGCAGCAGCTTAAACGAGAACCTATGCACCACATTCCACGGACACCGGCCAGTCAGGTAAACTGCATTGATTACACGACTCAGAGGAGTCGGACCCGACATCTGGTTGCAGCATCCAACTGGAAAATGCCAGGCTTATAAGTTAAGTCATTTTTGTGGTGGCTCCGCTGCGAGTTCAAAGTTATTTTGCTGTACAAATAAATTGTTTATGCCTGCAACTTAGACTCCGTATTAGACTCAGACTCATAGCCGGCTCAGACTCCAAGATGTGCTGTGTGCAATGCGAGGTGAGCCGGACCGGACCGGGCCTGCATCGGACTCTGGTCAAGGGGGAGATTGGCTCTGAGGCCAGCTGGCTGTTAGCGGGTGGATTATGGCAGCTAGACACGGCGATTATGGCCAGACATGAGCAAAATGGATACCCAGATACATGCTACAATTTGGTTGGGCAATGTCTCTATATTCTAACGATGCGTCACAGTGGATGCCACAGAGGGGTTGCAACTAAAGATCAAAGTCAGACCATCGATCGATCGATCGATCGATCTTGTGGCAAAAGTATGTTCTGTTCTGCTCTGCTCTGCTCTGATCTGTTGTTGAGGTCGAGGTGGACTGGCGTGATTAGATGGCCAACGATTGCTGTGCGCCAATCGATCATAATTGACATTTAAACACACAAGAACGTGGGTGGATTAGGTCCCGATTTATCGACAACAATCACTTGACAGACGTTGTCTTTTTTTGTTGTTCTTTTATAGCATTAATTAACGAGTCTCTTGTATTATTTTTATGGATAGTTTCTTTTGTGTTCGTCATGGCTGGCAATCAGCAAAGTTTTTGGCAAAAGTTCTCTGTTTTTCCACTGATTGATCACTGCCAAAAAACCAATTAACTTCTTACGCAAATAACATAAAATCACTCATTAAGTTGTCTTCTTTTTGGGTGCTGAAATAATTTTTGGGGTAAGCTGATTGAACTTTGTGGATTCTGTCTCACTCCGCATTAAATTCTTGCATGTCATCAAAGCTCAATTAATCCCATCAATCACATCAATTTTTTTTGCAGCTGCTTTTGCCTATTTAAATAGTTTTTTTGTTTTTTGTCTGTTTGAGTTTTGACACTCAACTCGTTCACAGATGATCACCGTCTTGAGTTCCATTTGATGATCTCCAAAGCTCACACGAGAACCAAACTTTTGTCACTTTTCCACGCTTTAGTTGTTGTCTCTCTTCTTGCGGTTGTGCGATCTTATTACATGGCAGGGGGCACTGAATACTCCGAGACATTCACATGTTTGCTGCCTTGTTTTATGTTAATTAACTTTGATTGCAACTTATATTTTTTTGCTGTTTGTTTCCATTTTAATTAAAAGTGCAAACATCAAAAAATAAATAAAATGACTTTATTTTTGTGTTCGGTTGATTGCACATTACCAAAGTCATAATTTGCATAGAGTTGCATTTTTATTTGTTTCTTCTTATTTTTTTATAATTTTTATCAATTTTTACACTTTTGCAATAATTGCACATCGATTTTTTGCCCATAAACGTTTGGGTGAAAAAAAACTCACTTGTTGTGTGCTGCACTTGTTGCAGCAGCGAAAATTTGATGCTGTTTTGACGCGCTTCAAACTGTTGGCCGCATGCGCACGTTTGGCTGCCAAAATTACAACTAACTACAAATGCCTTTGCCCCAAAAGCCAAAAGCCGAAAGATGCCGAAAAAAGCTACCAACGGATTCAACTCTCTTTCGGCTTTTTTCAGCTGTGGTTATTCTTTCGATGTCGAAGAGAGAGAAAGAGAGAGAGAGAGAGCCTCTGCCGCCGCACATGCGCCTTCAAGCTCAGCTTCGTTTGGCTTTCGGTTTCGATTTGATTTTCGCTTTCAAGCTCGGCACGCGAATCGACGCGACGGTTCGACCGTGGCATAGCTTTTGCTCTTAAACGGGTTTTGCTCAAAGCCACTCTTACTCTCTTAAATTGCATAGATTTGCGATGCTGCTGCGCTGCTGCTGCGGTTGCTGCTGCTGCGACTGCGACTGCGCTGCCGCCGCTGGTCGATTGCTGGCGAAGTCATTGGTTCAGTGTGTCTGCAATGCTTATTTTTATTTCGGCTTTTTTTTTTGGGGGTCTGCCATTGTCGTCAGAGCCAATATTTTAATGGCTCTTGCAACGTGACGTTTAAGTTATGATGAGATCGTTTTGTATGACATTTATGTATGTGTTCGTAGATGTGTTTGTCTGTGTGCAGCATGAAGCGTGCCCGGAGGCTGTAAAGAATGTTTTAATGTTTGGGGGAGAGCTTTGACAAAATCGAAAAATCTCTTGTATTTGTGTGGTTTTTATGGCTGAAGCTTTTTTCTGCAATTGGCTGCGGAAATGTTGCATATGTGGGTGCCGACGGCGACGGCAACTGGCTTCGATTTGGGTTAAGTGGAAGCAGCAGTTGGATGATGATGATGATTCATGGGATGCCAAAGCAAAAAGGAACTATGGATTGAGAATAATTTCGAGATTGATTCTGAGCGTGGGAGTTGATGAGTTAGTGGTAATTTATGGTAATTATGAAGCGAAAATTATGTGGCTAAGCATACAAAATTAGGGGATATTCGTTTTACAAGTGCTTTGGCGGAGAATTATTTTTGGCAAAGTTCTTAGAATTATGCAAAATAATGCTTGAAATAATGCTCTAAAATCAAGAACTTCAAATAATTACAAATCTCCCACCAGAAAACGCCTAAAAATCAAAAATATCTTTAGAGCAAAAACAATTAAATCTCCCACCGTGGGAATCCTAGAGCCAATGCCTCGCTCTACCCAAGACATTTCCCAAATGAAGGCACTAATTATAGCTTTTCCACTTCCTCATTGTTCGTTAACCTTCCAGCACACAGAGAGACTCGTGGTACGTATTGACTATAACCTATTCATTATTCTTCCAATTACACTCATTTCGAGCAATGACCTTCCTTCCTTACAGATTTGGGTATTAGATCATTCCAGTCTCTCTGCAGCTCCAGCCCCCAATCTGCAGCTCCACTCACGACATGGCACAAAGCATTGCTCAATGCACTTTGCGACGGCGTTGGAGGCAGACAACAGACAACAGACAATAGACAACAGGCTCCTGCAGCACTCTGGAAGCCCGCACTGGTCTTGCCTCACCGTTCGCTCAACTCCTGGCCCCACTCCCACTCCCAGTCAACAGCTGTTTGCGGACAAGTGCACTGTAATTGGCCTGCGACTCTGTTGCCAATCCAACGACATACCCGCGAAATCAATACGCAGCTTTTTATGGCCCGAGGGGGGGGCACAAGGTTAGTAGATTTGTGGACTTCGCAGTGCGTTCGATTTCGTTTTGGTTTTTGCTTTTCGTTTTCGTTTTGGTTTCTTGTTGCTCTTTATGGCATTTTTTTTTCGCAGCAATTCGCAATTATGAATGGCCCGCAGAGCCTCGGCCCGGCTGCCTGGCTGCCTGCATTCTAAATGTCAATGTTACCACCGCAACTCCCATGAGTATCTCTCTGTCTCTGTGCATCTGTGATGCATTTGTGAGATATTTTCAGTTTCAGTTTCATTTTCATTTCGATTTTGTTTCTGTTGTTTTCGCGGTGATTGACTTTTGTGCGAGCTCATGTGGAATTTCCGCTATGCACGACGACCCACCTTAAAAGTCAGACTCCGACCCGACTCCGACTCCGACTCCGACTCCGAATCCAATGCGAGCTTTTGAGTTTTGATTTGGAATACGAAAATATGTTTGTAGCTGCGGCTGTTTGTTACAGATACTCTAAGAAGGGGGGGTTAATGGTCATGGCAGAAAGAATGAACTTTGGGGGGCAGAACATTGACTGAAATTTCAGCTGCATTGATGTCTATCTGTGAACAAACAATTAACATATTTTTGCTTGATGAATTATTGTTAATCAAAAACGTTCACCCTTGCAAATGAATAAAAAGTTAAAGCCTGTAAAAAATAGCTTAATTGTTCACGAATAATTATGGCAACTTCAAGTTATGCCTAAGAAAATCTTTTAAAATTACATTTTCCATGTAAATATCTGCATCAAGCTTCAACCTTCTCCTTTATCCCTTTTGTTAGGGTATCCCATAATTCTACCTGTTGCTGCCGCCCAACCCATTACCTTTGGTTGCATGTGTAATGAACAACAATTTCATGCACTTGGAGCTTGGCGGCCATAAATAACGTGGCTGAGCCCATTGTGCGTTGGCTGCCACTGAGAAATCGAATCAATCATTTTGCACACACGAAAACGGAACAACTTTAAAAAAATGCAATTGTTTTCCTCAAAGGGGAGGGGCTGGGGCAAGAGCTGTGGAGTTGTGAGGTGGATTATGACAGCGTTAACAAAGCGCGGCAAAATTAAAGTGTTTAATTAACACAGAAAAAAAAGAGTTCAACAAACAGACAGCACACACAGCAGAAACCACAAAAAAAGAGAGGCTCGACATGCTCAAAAATCGCTCATACGCTCCGTTGAACTTCAGCAAAACACGCATGAGGAAAGACCAAACACAACACAACAACCGGGCGACTGAATACAGGTGAATACGAGTGTGAGTGTAGTGAGTGTATTCGAGTATGCCAAGGTGTACCGAGCTCTTGATTAATTGTGCAATTGCAATTGAATTAAATGCGTGTAAATAACTCGAGCAGCGAGAAAGAAATCCAACAGAAATGTTCAAGGAGGAGCAGAGTCAACTGAGACTTGGGCAGAGAGATAACCTGATGAACGGACGGACAGAGCGGACAGACGGAGCGGACATCGCGGGTTAAATTGAATTTATGGTAAATGCAAATGAGCGGGAAACAGAAAAATAACAAGAAAGAAAGTTAAGGCTTTGCGAGTCGAAGTTTTGGATGCTCTTATGTAAATAAATAATAATACAATTCAATAATGATAAAAAATAAATTCATAAATACTCCATAAGGTCATAAAAAAATATATAACTTAATTAATATGTATTAAAATAAATATAAGCAAAAAACCGATAATAAATCTTTTAAAATAAATTAAAAATGTTGCATAAAAAATTTCGAAATACACATCCATTTTTCTGTTCATTCTGAATATTTTTTAAGCGTTCCCAAAAGCCTTTTCTCTCTTAAAAAATCATTATACCCTGCCATGGCCAGCGTATTTCTGCTCGACATGAAGTTGATTGAGGCAAGTGAAACATGCAAAAAAGTAACCAAAACAGATGCATGCAAAATAGACATAGTATAAACATGTTAAATATATAGATATCAAAAAAATATGTGCACACATCCAGCCAGAGCAACAAACAACAAACGAGGAATAAACTTCGTTAACATTGTGCACACGAGCGAATTGCTCTCTGGCGATTACGATTAAACACGCTTGTAAATACTGGATCAAAGCGAGCAAAACAAAAATAAAATAAAAACAGCAACACAAAGTATACAGAAAACATAAAAAGAAACTCTGACGAAAAAACAAATGTATACGATAGATATTCATAAGTCAAGCTGCTACTGCATCGAGGTCGAGGCGAAGGCGACCCAGGAAAGGCTTCCACAGCCAGAGGAAAAACAGGAAAGAGGTAATGGGAATGAGTAGATTTGATGGAGCCACGCGTATAATAGAGTTTTTCACGATCAACTTCCGCTGGAAATTGCAAAACAATTAAAGGAGAGAGAGAGGGGGAGAAAGAAATAAGAGTAAGGAAAGAGAACTAAAATGGAATTGTGGGAGTAATTTTCTAGAGACATATATTGTGAAGAAGAAAAATGAACATGGAAACTGAGAGTACTGATAAATATTACGAAAACACACAAAAAATTCGTACGAAATTCTCATGATTTCACTTTAGGGAACATCTTGTTGCCTTGCAGCTCCTACATCTATTCGTTTCCCACCTCCCACTCACGCTCTTTCTTCCAATACGTCCAACATACCCTCCGAAGCCAGGGTAACCATATCGTGCGATAAAAACTTTTCGCCTTTTGCGTTCAATTGAATCCGCTAACTGTTCAACTGAGTGAGTAATGTCCAAAATGTTGACACGGACACAAATCTGTGGACGATGAGGAGGAGGAGGGGCGTAGGTAAGTGGAGTTGTAGCTACAGCATACCGATACCGTATACTATGTACATATTTACAATATAGATATGTACATATATCAATATGTACCAGCAATCATCCGTATGCGAAGCACACACACACTTGAGTACGCCACGGCCCACGACAATATTGAACGGCGAACGCACTTAAGTGCCTTCGTCTTTAAAGCTCTCTAGAGCAGCGATTCCGATTCCCTGCCGCCACCTGCCAAGCGCGTCTCTGCCCACGAACCGTTTCTCTGCCCGCTTAGCGCGTCGCTGCTGGCCCACCGCGTCTCTCCTGCCCACCGCGTCTCTGCTTGCTCACCCTGTCCGCTACCTGCTAACTTCGACTTTGAACCCCCACCTCTTCCCCTCTCGCTCTTAGACCAACGACTCTGTGGTTCCCGTGCCTTACATTACACTCGCAAGACTCTTTACTGTTTCGCATTAAGCGCGCTCGCTGCACGTTTCTTACATGCCAATGGATATAGTATGTAGTTTCTATATGTAGATATGTATGTGTACGTACGATGTATGGTGCCTTTTTTATGGGTTTAGTGTTTTGTGGTCAAACGGGTTTAAATTTATTTATGATTGGATTTGATTTTATTAAAATGAAACGAGCAAGAAAAAAACGGAAAACCCCTCCACCATCATATGAGAAGGCGAAACAAAGTCAGCGGGCGGTGTTCGTAATTGCCACTGCCGCAAGGAGTGCTGATCAATTGATGCGGGTGTTGAATGTACCAGAAGGAAGGGGCGGGGGGGG